ACTGTATATCCTTCGGTTATTTTCACACTTAATTATGGCCATTAATATGTATTTTAAAAGTTTTTGTTACTTTCACTGTTCATTTTTTTGCTCTATGGTACATCATCTTTAATTTAATAGCATCAGAGCTGCTCCACTGCAGCGGCTCAGTACTGTAATCACGCGGGAACCACTCGCTATAAAGCTCCTAACTGTGATATTTTCAGAAATAGAAGTTTATTTTCATCTGAAACGTGCTGCGATTTATATTCCAAAGCCACTCATATAATGCAGAAACAGTCAAGCAAGCAAAACACGCGCAACGCGTGCAGGTATTTGTACTGATGCAGAATGCATTGTTTTACTTGTTTTTGACATATCCGACCGAACTACAAACTTTCCAGTGATGTCTGAGAGAAAGGTACATTCACTCGACAAGCTCGCGCATCTGCGCCGCCACGCACTCAATCCACTCAGCGCGATTTGTTTATCAGCTCGTGCACACCAGCTATACAGGCGTTAATACTGAATGTTTAACGTTATATTAATTGCATACATATACTGCGTAGTAGACATCCTTAACTCCTTTCTGCTGTCTGTTGTTCTGTTGTTGGTGTTTCTTTGTTTGAATATGGCGCTTATCACATGCTGTGTGGTATCGGCGTTTGGTATCGGGGCATTTTAACGAGTACGAGTACAGAAGCTCAGTATCGGTATCGGTGCATCCCTACTTCAAAGGATCAGTTCACTTCCAGAATAAAGATTTCCTGATAATTTACTCACCCCCATGTCATCCCAGATGTTCATGTCTTTCTGTCGTCAGTCGCAAAGAAATTAAAGTTTTTGAGGAAAACATTCCAGGATTTTTCTCCATATAATGGACTTCAGTGGGGACCAACGGGCTGAAGGTCAAAATAAAGAGGGTGTTATCACATGCCCTTACATTAGGTCATATAAGATCAAAAGACTCAAAAATATTTGTTGACAATTTATTATTGTCAACTAATCATTTCAGCTCTAATAAATAGCATAGATTGTATTCTGTAAGATGGTTTTAATAATGCAGTGAAGTACCTGTTATGCGTCTGCTAGAGATGTTTCAGTTCACTGTGTTCAGTGTCTGACTGCTGCTTGTAACAACATTTTAACATCTTTACTTTGACACTTTCATCCCAATTCACACGTGTGGGGAGGCAGTTCCCTGTCATTACTTAGATGAGAGTCTAAACTACATCAGCGAGTGTCTGGATGCTCATGAATATTTGCCTTATTTGATCCTTATTTAAGCTGAAATTGGTGTTTTTTAGGCTCACACATTGCTTTTGTGGAAAGATCCTCCAACATGTTCTCTCTGGCAAAACCCTTTATCCCTGAAGCATGTTTTATTAGATTGTGCTGGTTTTAACCCTGTGAGAGAACTTTTTTATTCAGTTAACTCTTTTGAAGAGATTTTTAACAGAGTTAAGCCAAATACAGTTTTAGAGTTTTTAGCGAAAATAAATTGTAAAAACCTGATTTAATTTAGCCATAAATTTCTCTCGCATTGAAAATAGCCACAGAAGCTGGCATGGCGTTAAATGCAAACACACAAACAAGTTGCATTTGTGGATTATGCACAGTATGTATAGTATAACAAAGTTGTCACCTCGTGACTGATGACGTGTCTTGAGCTATAATAACCCCCTAACATGTCATCTCAATCTCTAGATCGTTCTTGCTTTACTAAGCATTGGTTGACTCAGATGTGACTATTTTGTGCAGCTTGCTGCTGAAGAGTTCTTATGGATATCTGCAAGCGGTTTCGTCAATTCCTATATCTCTATCAGTAACGTTAGTTTTTTTGTGAGCCTGGACTCTAGCGATTGGAGAAATATTTCTGAAACCTCACGTTTTGTGGAGGCTTCAATCTTCTGGGTACCAGCAAGTTTGAATCCCTCAGAGGAGATATGCATTCGTAAGTCTTGGTTGCCTTGTCTTGAGAGCGTATATCAGGGTGGCCGCGGGTCCTTAAAAAGTCTTAAAATGTCTTAAATAAAGTTTTCCTAAAATAAGGCCTTAAAAAGTCTTAATGTCTTAAATTCAGATTCAGTAGGTCTTAAATATTTTTGGTCACATTACCACAAAAATGTCTCCAGTCTAACGGACCCAGTGAGTGTCCATCAAGAGTACTTTTCCCCCCCGCTGTAGTTACCGCGTCATCAGAGAGAATTGCGGTTACAGAATACAGTCAAACACCAGCTCGCTGTCCAGCCTCCGAACTACTTTAAATGGGTTCATGCAAGTTTACTGAAAAATGGCTTGAGAATTGTACTTGCCCGACAGGACTAATAGCCTGATTAAAACTTAAGTGACAAAATATAATCACGCATCAAAACGTGCGAATGATTCTTCTGATTTTATTACATTCAGCTTAAACAGCGATTGATAATTGATAGTGTAACGTATTTCTATTATCAATGTCGCGCTGTTGAGGCTCGTGCTGCCTGTCTCTGTGAGAGACTTTCATGGAGAAATCAAATCAAATGAGCGAACGGCACACATAAACAAACTCACAGAACAAACATACTGAGGTAAAAATTCAAAATGTTTAGTTTATTTATAGCATGATATAGTCAAGTAACATACCATGACAAGGGATCTATTTTGCTGAATATTTT